TAATTCACTGACAAAATTGATTGTTTCAGTCATCTTGCGAATCGGACTTGATCAATCAGTCGCCCCTCAATGCTGCCGCCCTGCAGCAAAATGATTCAAATTCCCACTCGCCCGCTAAAAAGAAGAAAAAAGAGAAGCGCACCAAACGGGACAAGGAAAGCAAACAACGGCATCAGAACAATCGTTCAGTGACTCCGCTCAGTCCTGCAGCTCAATCAGATTCGGCGACATCTAGAAATGAGGAGCTGACGCTGAGTGATGGCGAACTGGAATCCAAGCGTGCAGCGCTGCTGGCCCAACTCAATGAGCATCTGGACGAATGACCAAGATATTATAGATAAACGGACCACAACACCAGTTAGCGTAGTTAGCTATGGCCATAAATAGATACGCAAGGAGTTCGTGCGCCTAGTTGTATAAGTTGTATAAAAGATACGTTCATTCAGCTACAGCTACATATATAGTTTGTAAATGCTATAATGTATTTGTACTATCGCACAGCTCCTCACTTGCTTTGCTCTGGAATCCTTTTTTGGCCACCTGTCGCAACACACAACAGGCAACAACAGAATATGTAAGTTTTTTCATCAGCGCTAAGTTTTATTGTAAAGAAATTTGAATAATAATATGATCATTTTATAAGACATCAAGCAAAAGAAATAATATTCGCACTTTGTGTGAACAACAAAACGAACGAGTTATTCATTTTTTATTCAAAGGAGAGGTCGTAATGATCTCATTAATTTTGAAGAAACATTTATTATACGATTGTAAATTTAGATAATATTTTTGTGCTAACTTCGTTACGTAGAACTGCTCAATTTTGGGAATTGAATAAAATTTTGTTCGCTGGCTGAACTGAAAAGCTTAATAAACTTTTAAGTGATAGTAAATGCTGTTGCAATCAGTTTTAAAATGTTTACTATTATTTTCTCTTCAATGACAATCTTGAATCTTAGCAAAGAAATTGATGCACTAAAACTTGAATTCCTTGTACTTCTTGGTGGTCTTAGCCGGGTCAGTTTGTTGTCGTTTGCGTTTGGATTTCTGTCGAGCCACATGCTCGGCCAACATGTCTGACAGATCCTCCTTTTGCAGATGATTCTGTTGTTCGCGCATTTGCTGCTCATAGCGCTGAGCCATCGCATCGTTGTCCAGGTCCAATTCACTCGGATCCAAAGCAAGTTCCACAATGCCTTCGCGATCCGTTGTGGAACGTACGGGTGGCTGTTTATTCGCACCGGCGCCGGCGCCACCAATATCATACACATGTGTGGAGCCCATCATGGAGGCGCCAATGCGATCGGTGCGCTTTTCTGGCAGCACTTGGTAGAGTACGGGCGTTTCATTGCTACAAGAAAGAGGATTACAGGTTAGCTTGTCTTGTTTGTAGACGACTTCATTTATAGCTTACTCCTCCATTTCGGCTTCGATTTTCTTTTTGCGTAGCTCAATATTTTCGGGTGTTTCCATGCCCGCGGGAACACTGGTTAGACCAGAGGGTGTGACCAGACCCTCGACAGGTGTAACCAGGCCAGTTTCATCCTGCTGGTTGCCCAGATCCTCACCGTCCTCCTCTTCCTCTTCGGAAGACTCCTCCGACTCCGACTCCAGCTCACCCCATTGATTGCGCTCAATGTCTGCCTCATCAATACCATTCTGTGAATGAAATGAAAGATTCATATTTGCTTTCATATGATATTTGTTAGTATCTACTCACATCCAAGTCCAGAGTATTCATGCCAAATACATCGCCATAGAGCGGCTTGCCATTCTCATCGACTGGCGGCTTACCCCAGCCACCGGCATGATAGCCAAACGAAGTGCCCTCTGGTATGGGCGCGTTAAGGCCGGGTATCTTTAGATTCGGATACGAAGGCGGTGGTCCGTAACGTTGTTGAGCAATCAACCATGGAGGCGGTATTTTGTGCGAATTTGGTCCAACGGGCATACCCAATGCAATACGCAACTCTTCAGACAAATCTCCGGGTTTTTTCTCTTTGAGACGTGTCTCGAACTCCTTGCCCTCATAATACAGATCTCCGTGAATGGTCATGCGAGGCTTGGTTTGCCATTTGAAGAAGGCATCGTGCAGTTTCTGATAGTCTATGTCGATTTTGCCCATTTTAGGGCGAACACGTTCCCTCATTTTCGCTTTCAGAGTTTTTGCATCCTCGCGCTCTTGCAGCGATTCACGCATCTCCATGATGCCAGTTTTCTTGATGAAGGCGGGCAGATCAAATGGCGGCTTCTCAATACCACGTTTGCCCTGCAGATATTTACGCTTGAAGCACCAATGACGTGGCACCTGCACCGTATTGCGATACGCTTTCAGCTGGACGAGCAATTTGGGATCTCTTGCTGTCACATCGTGCATTTCCACAACATCTGGTCGGGAAACCAATTGCTTTAACTCCGCTACACTGAGGCGTGTAAGCTTCTTTAACTTCCGCTTGGATAACTTCTCTTTGTCTTCCTTATTGTCATCGTCATCGTCGGCATCATCGTCATCGTCGTCGTGCATTTTGTTCGAGGATTTCTTAGCTTTTGCTAGTGCTTCGGCATCCAGAGCTGCCTTATCCTTTTCCACGGGCTTCGGCTTATTCTCCAGCTTAAAGATCTCAAATACACGATAGAATTGACGGTACATGGGCGCCAGATCTGCTATGGTAATTTTCTCCGGCACATACCTTAAATTGTGGTTGTATTAGTTTTAAAAGAAATTCTAAAGCTGTGTGTACTTACTCAATGGTTACATCTTCCTCGTTGCTTTCCGACTTATTTCGCTCTTTAACCTTTTCCTTCTCTTCACGTTCCTTCTTCTTTTTGCTGCTGCGTGTCTCTCTCTTAGACTCCTTTTCCTTCGCTGGCTGCTCTTCATCGTCACTGCCAGCTGCTTTGGCTTCTTCCTCGGGATCCTCTCTTGGCTCAGAGCGTCGCGCCAGTTGCTGTTGTCGCTCCAATTCCAATTTTTGTCGTAACTTTTTATTTTGCTTCTTGCGACGTTTCTTCTTTTTGTTTTTGTCCGCCTTACTTTGCTTGCTGGATTTATCGTTGGTATTACCATTTATTTGGTTATCGGCCTCGTCATCGCTATCATCGCCTACATCGGCGAAGTCGCCGTCTTGCGAGCCCCCGTCTGCAGCGAGGCCCCCTCTTGCATCAACATCCACATCAAATTCAGCCACACGCTGATCTTTGAGTGCCAACACATCTTCTAGCGCCTTAGGTAACACTAGCTCAGCCGCTTTCTTAGTTTCAGCAGCCACTTGGGCGCCTTCAACGTCGCCGGCTCCATTGCCATTGGCAGCCGCATTTTCGGTCGTTTGTTGCGGGTCGAAACGAATGGACATCAATGGCGCCGGGGGACCGCCCTGTTGAAATGTTTCTTTTAGTTTTAAAGCTTTAATCTTAAACTTTTTACTTACATCAGGTTGAATTGGATCAGCCATTTTTATTATATTTTTAATAAAATAAACAAAAAGTCCAGCGAAAATGCAAAGTTTGGTGATGTCCTATTCGCGTTTATCGTCTGACTTTTGTGGTGGCTCAGCCGATTCCGGTCTCACACCACTAGTTAATGTTATCGATAATCTGGTGCAAGCAGCGTGCTTCCACTTAGTGTGTGGAATTACATTTTTAACAGCTGACTTTCAGTTAAATTAAATTACTATTAGGTAAAAGCAAACATATTTATGGATTTCCAAAAACAATAATTACTTAAAATTATTCTTTGCGGCATTTTTTCTGCTTGCCGGTTAAACAACAGTGAACCAAAACAAACAGGGTGACTTGAGTGCTAAAAATGTTCGAGTTCAATTTTGAAGTGAACGAGTCTGATTCATCGGATGCTGAAAGTCCTTTTAAAAAACCTAAAATTGTTGAAAGGCCAAAATCAGATTTGCCAAAGAAAAAAGAAAAGATTGACTGGTATCAAGCTGAGGATATAAAACCAACGAAAGATCTCTTACAAAATTTGGATATCTACGAACTCAACGCAAATGAACTAACTATCGGCGATATCGAATTACGACATCTGATTGCAGGCTTTCTGCTAGAAGATATTAAAAAACACAATGATTTAGACACCCAGGACTTAAGGAAGTCAGAAGAAAGTCACTCTGACTTAATAGCAGGCGTCTATGAAGGTTTGATAAATAAAATGTAGTATTTTCTTTTACCTGTATATACAAAACCTTATAACACCAGGCGGTGCCAAAATTTGGGAATGTACCAATGATTTACTGATATATCTTTCGAAAAACTTTGAAAAATCGGATTGGAAAGAGAAGTTGGTTTTGGACTTGGGTTGTGGCTCCGGACTTCTAGGCATATATGCCTTTAAATGTGGCGCAAAAGTTGACTTTCAAGACTATGTAAGTCAACAGTTATACCATATCATTATTGTTCAATAAAATTTGTAATTTTTTGTAGAACAAGGATGTCTTAGAGAAAATAACAATGCCAAATGTGCTGCTTAACTTCGAAGATACGTTAAACGATGATGAGAAAATGGAGCTCCTACAGAAATGCCACTTCTATGCAGGCGACTGGTCATATTTTGCGGAGCTCACAAATAATTTAGAAAAATATGATATAATACTGTCATCGGAAACTATTTACAACATAGAAAACCAACAAAAGCTTTTAGAAACATTCCGAAAACGCCTCAAGAGAGATGGAAGGGTTTTAGTAGCTGGCAAATCACATTATTTCGGTGTAGGCGGTGGTTTAGAGCAATTTATTGATTATGTTAAAAGTGAGAATGTTTTTGAAACTAACTACTTATGGAATGCTGACGAAAATTTAAAGCGCGGCATAATTGAATTGAAGTTACAATAAAAAATCAACTATCGCCGATGATTTTTACGGTCACAGGTCACCCTGTGATGGGGGGTGGGCTTTTGTTGTTATCGCTGAAGAGTTAAGCGTGTAAGTAGAAAGTAATTGAAGTGCCTATTAAAAGTAATATTTTAATATGTTTAAATATAGTATTCAATTGCACACTTTATTTCCATTTTGTGGCTGGTCTTAAATTAATTTAAACAAATTATTCTTCCACACGCTGCGTGGCGATAAAACAAACTTTTTCTTTTGTTCAAAACTTGCAAATCGATCCGGCTTGAATGTCGAATTTTATTGCTGCAGCGGAAGAAGCCGAACGGGGGGAAAAGGATACTCGTGGCCTCTGCTGCTGCGAATATATTGGACATGATAGGAAGCGATTTCATATACTAGGATGCTGTTGTAATTGCGAAGACTTTGATTTGGTATGCACAAGGTAAGAAAAATTGCACACGACATGGCAAGCGAATCGAAGGAAACTCGGGCTGAAGTAACCCTTAGCCATAGTCAAAGGCATACCATAAATTGGATTGAATTCAAAAGAAATATATCTACATCCACATACTATTTTCAGCTTTATCTTCTGCAAGCCCATTGATAAGCGCAATTTGGACAACATGTTGATTGCGTTCCAGGATCGACTGCGACTGCCTTGGCGGGGCGGCGCCAAGCGCATCTCGCCCGCTGCTTTGGCTCCAGCTTTAATTATCCCGCTCATGATTTGCTTGGCTGCACTCAATGCAAAGACGGCAATTGTGATGATGCTAACGCTGATTGGGTTCACCTGCTGGGGCTTGCAAGTGGCTGAGCGCACGGCCACAAAGACGAGTTTCTTTCGCAGCTGGGTTGTATTTTCCGTCTGCTACATGGCCATCATCTTTGAGTCTGCGGTGCCGTTGCTGGAGCTGCTCCCAGAGGAGAATTATCTATTACTTAGCTTGTCGATCGGAGCACTTTATATGCTTTATCGTGTACAGAAATTGGCGTCACTGGATCTGGTGACGACGCAATACGGAAACACGCCACGAGATGAACTGCCAGGCATCACGGAAGCCTCCAGTGGCGAGGAGCAGGCCGAACAGCAGGCACATGAGGCAGTTACCCTCATGGCGGACACTGTGCTAGGCATCGAGGACGATGAGGAGGAGAATGAAGATGCGGGTCTTATGCAACATTCGCAGCCAAACATCTGTGAGATTTGTCGCAAGGTAACACCTCGACGTGCCTATCACTGTGTCATCTGTGGCAGCTGTGTTAAGCGCCGATCCCATCACAGCTTTTGGCTCAACTGTTGCATTGGCGAAAGCAACTATCGCTGCTATCTGCTGGCCTTGGTCCTCTCTGAATGTGCTCTGCTGCTGGGCGCCAATCTGACATTGACTGCTGTCTGTCATCCATTCCTAGTGGTGCGTCTGCTAGGAATTCCTCTCCTGCTACCCGATGACTGCAGCGAGGTCTTCGAGGACTTTGAGTGAGTTGCAGCTCAAATTATATAATATCAATTATTTAATCTTTTATTTTTCATTCATAATTAGATTGGGCATCTCGTTCGTTGTGGCTGCGTATGCCTTGCTGATCTCTGGCTTTATTACTTTTGTTCTACTCCGTCAATTGTTTTTGTGGTGGCGCGGCACCACTTTGCACGAGTATAAACGTATTTCAACTCCCAATGGGAATCGGAATCGTGTTTGGAGCAATTGGCGCGCAATTTTAAAGTAATGAGAAATCAACCAAAAAATACCAAATACTAAACTAATGCAACATTTACACTAAGCTACAAATTCTTCAATGTATTAGCTGCTGCTGTCGGAGCCAATTAGATATTAAGCTATACATATATATGTATATGCTTATTTATATATTTAGGGTCAAGCTCGAGCGCGCAATTTAAGCTTATGTAGAAATACGTTTAAGCATTTAGTATTACAACAATTTGAGAGCCTTAGTCGTGATTGAACAATTAATCGAAATATGTTAAAATATAAGTTCAAGGAAACTATCCCAATATATGATACAATTTAAGGTGTATTAATAGTTTTTAGAGCTTCGCACAAAGGTGTTCTTAAAATGTAATTGTTTTAGTGATTATTATTTGTTTTTCTTGTTTAAGTTAGACAAACCACACTTATTGTAAAAATTAATTTGGCAATTTCACTTATATTGTCGCTTCTATTAGATAAAGCAATTTATTGAATAAAAATAAAATGAATATTCATACAGACTTAATATTTAAAATATACAATTTTGTCTAATTATTGGGAAGTCTACCAATTGGGTCAGTTCTGTTCTCCAATTAGAACTAAAAAAGTGTCTAATTACAGGTATATCTATTAGTTGTGCCACCACTGTGCGGATGCAACTCTGTTTTGAAAACAACGACTTTTCTTTACGATTCCGTTGAGTCAACCAAAAAAAAGTAAATTTTCAATACCAAACAATATTAAAGCTACCATAAACTATCCTCCCTTGGCTTGTAATCGGGCAGCAGCTCCCAGATCTTCATGCGCCAACGCTGACGTCTCTCCTCCGTCTCCTTTTCCAAGCGCAAAATTTGCGGCAAGCGTCGCCAGCAATCCAGGACTTTCCACTTGAGATGCCTAAAGGAGAATCAGAGTAAGGTAAAGTTGTTGATATATACTGCATTCACTTACCATTCATGATGCGAGATTGCCTGTTGCATCTTCGTGTCCTCAATCAGGCGACAGCCAGTGGTGTAGCCTAGCCAGCGCCCGAACCAATGCTCCGTGCAGTGCAAGGCATGCCAGTCGATGGCCACCAACATCTTGTTGCGCTGCTCCACGGCATAAAGACGCCACTCTTGCAGGGCTCTGCGCTTTAGTGCCTTCTCGTAACAGAGCTCGGCCCGTATGTGCTTCTGTCGGACGCTGAATTCCGCGTATTTGCGCCACTCCACAAAGAATTTGCGCTTGTAGAGGCGACGGCAGAATTCTTCGCTTTTGACCAGATTGTCGCGCTTGCGTTGAATGAGACGCTTGAAGCACTCCATGCCCAGGCGCAGGAACAGACGACGACTAAACTCAAGAGCCTTGCGCTGATTCTCCAGGAAACGCTGGCGCTCGCGCTCCTTCAGCACCTTTGCCATTTTCTCCTGGCGGCGCTTCTCCTTCAGCACCTCGATGCGCAGCCGCTTGGCCTCCTCGTCCTCCTGGCGCTGTGTAGTCAGCAGGTAAATGTATATGTCTATGTTTCTATATGCCTGCCCTGACTTACCTTTGCTTCCTCCAAAGCTAGCTTGGCTGCCTCTCGCTCAGCCTCCGCCTGTGCCCTACGCTGACGCGCTTGCTCATGCCGCACGCTGCGCTCCAGCGCTCGGTCCTGCATGTGTTGCAGGAAGCGCGGCTGCAGCAACGCCCTGCCCTGCAGCCTCTCGAATTCCTCATCCTCCGCATCGCGCAGGCTGCCAATTAATTGCAGACATCTGGCTTTGGCCTTGGCCTTGGGATCGCCGCATCGTATAACAGTCTTCAGCTCCTGTTTGAGATCCTCACGCGCCGCCTTCGCTTCCTCGCTGAGCTTGTTTAGCTTAAGCTGCATTATGAGACGCTCCTGACGCTCCAGCTTGACGCGCTGCAGGTCAATGATGTCCTGCTGCACCTTGAGTCTGTGGAAGCAAAGGATTAGATGAGGGAAGAGACTAATCCTTAAGCTATTGGCATTGCCTACTTTGTCTTAAACTGCTTGGCCATCTTGACGGCCTCCTCACGCTGCTCCATCGACCTCTGAGCTCGCTTGTCCGCATCGGTTGGCGTTGTGGGTCGCTTGTTGCTACGCAGGCGCCGCTTCTCCTGCCGGAGCTTGTCCAGAAATGCATTGATCTTCGCCGCACGATTCACGTGCGTCTTGCCAGGCTCTCGCTCTATCTTCTCCATGGTAGTATAGTGTATCCACTTCAGGAAATGCTTCCGTAAGCAGTTCAGTTCCGATTCGCTGCGTGGATGGAAGAGCTCGTCGATAATCTTTTCCTTCTCAACAGGTGCTGCATCCGAGCTGCTGTCCAACGGCTGCTTCTCCTCCGGCTTTTCCGTCTGCTGCTTGGGCTGAACCACCACTTTTGGTATATCCATGCGACGTATAAGCAGCGGCTGCAGCTGCTCCACGGATGAGGTAGTGGGCGACGGCGTTGTCTCCGGCGTCGGCAGATGGAATTTGACCAGCTTGATAGTTGTGTCGACTGTCGTTTCTACCACTACTTGCTTCAACTGCTCCTGCTCCTGCTCCTGCTCCGCTGCCTCGAGCTGCAGTTCGTATAGAGCCTCCTCCGCCAGATCAGAGATGACGGAATCAATGCCCTCGCTGGTATTGGAGCAAGTGGATGCCTCACGTTGTAGCGTGTGTTCCTTTGGCTGCTGTTGCTCCATTGGCTGCTGTTGAGCCCGCTGTTCCTCCTCCGTTTTCACCTCCTCCATGTGGCGCCGTTGTCGCTCAGCTGCCGCACGCATGGGTCGGAACATTTCCTCCGTGGTCAGCAGAGGGCTTGGCGTGCGGCATCTCTTATGGAGCAGATTCCTGCTCTCGTCTAACTCCACCTGCTTGACAAACTTGCGATACTCCAGCATGTCCACCTCCTCGCGCAGCTCCGCCTGCACCTCATCCGGCTTCACCTGCAGCCAGTTCTGATCCGTATCTGCGTCGGCCTCCGCCTCGGGCTGCCCTTCCAGCTGCTGCAGCAGCGATGTCGTCGCAAGCTGCTTGCGCATGGAGCACAGCTGCGCAGCTTGGCTCAGAGCATCCACGGGAGTCTTGTAGAAGTTGTCAATGTGCTGAGCTGCCTGCGACAAGCTCTGCATCAGTGGTCCATGATTGAGCTTGAAGTCCGGCTTGGTGGGCCGCACGTGTATCTTCCGCTCCTGCACGCGCGGATGCTGCCTGGCCAGCTGCTGGCGAAACTTCTGCAGCTGATTGTTCATATAACGCTGCTCCACTTCCAAATTGTGAGCCTTTGTGGTTTCCAGATTGCTGCCAAAAGCCACTGTGGCCAGCGGCAGCTGACGTGGAATCTTGGCGAACTGCAGCGAGAATTAAATATTTAGCCCTCAATTAAATTCATATATCCAGATCCTGGAACTCACCATCTCATGGCGCATGTCCATGACAACGCTCGGATTCAGCTGCTTTTGCGGCTGGCCATCGATGAGCAGCTGCGCCTGCTTACGATCCACATAGTCCACCTCGATGAAGCGACGCACTGCCTCCGTTTTAAGACCCAGAGAATTGGCATTCAGCTGACGCTTCCGTATGCGATCCCAGCGCGTGGGTTTGTTTAATTTTTCACGACGTTTCTGGAGTGACATTGTGAATAATTCTGCAATAATAATAATAATGCCTTATCCTTAACGAAATTTTCTCTTTCAACTTAAAAGTAAAACTAAGGATTGCTTGTAAACAAATTTCGAAGACGTTGTCCAGGCAACCAGAAATCGCCGGCTGAGTTTACTGTATTAGCTTAGCATATATATATCGCGGGTTGCTATGTTGCAAAGATTACTGTAAGTGGAAAAACGAGATGGAAATATCCGACTAGCAGATGTCCTAAGTAGAGTCCAATCCATTCCACCTTTAACAAGTACCCAGATCTCCCAAATCCAAATATATATATAACAGAAACTTTAATTTGATTTAAGTGTCCCAGGCTTTAGGCGTTTTAAATTCAATTTATTAAAGCCAAAATAGTTGAGATATTTTGTAAATCATTTAAAGTATAGAAATCAATTCGATTATAAAATTATCTTCTACGCATCAAGATAACAGCTTTATATATAACCATACACCCTATACTTGCGCAATATACTTCAATAGCTTTCAGTGGCTATCTTATCTTGTTATTGATATTTGAAATATCTATATATATATATGTATATATTAATAATAAAAGATATATATATTGTTCTATAGCTTTTGCATTGTGAAGCGCAACTTGTGCCCGATTTAATTATAAAACGTTTTTGCAGTAAATGCGATAAATATATAATAGATAATAACACAATTTTGAAAGCTTAATTTATGCTGAGTGAATCGCGTGGCTTGAGGATTGGGATTGGGATGAATCTGTCCTTTAGGCAGCTGCTGTATCATCTTCTAGGGGTCATTCGGTATAAAAGTTAGTCTTTAGCTTAGGCAGCTGCAGGATCCTTCTTCGGCTTCTCCTTCTTGGACTTCTGTTTGTCGGCGGCAGCTTGTTCCAAGTCAATTGGCGCTGGCTTCACATATGGAATTTCATCCTGAAATTTGGAGGGCATGTATTTCTTTAAAGGCTCCGGCACCTTGATGCCCGTCTCCGTCTGATGGGTCTCCAGGATGGCGCAAATCACACGCGTGGCAGCGCACATTGTGGCATTCAGCATGTGGACGTAGTCCACAGCTGCATTCATCTTCTTGGTCTGGCCATAGCGCACCAGCAGTCGACGTGCCTGGTAGTCCAGACAATTGGAGCAGGAGACAAGCTCTCTGTAGGCGCCACTGCCGCCGAACCAGGCCTCTAAATCGAGCTTCTTAGAGGCGGCATGATTCAGTGCGCCCGAAACAATGTTGACAATGCGGTATGGGATGCCTAGAGATTGGCAGAACTGCTCCGCATTGCCAATCATCTCGTCCATCATCTCCCACGATTTGTTGTCATGCGGCGAGGTCAGCACAAATTGTTCCACCTTCTCGAACTGATGCACCCGGAAGATGCCTCGCGTATCACGTCCATGGGAGCCCACCTCTTGGCGGAAGCACGTGGAGAGGCCAGCGTACTTGATTGGTAGCGATGCCTCTGGCAGCCATTCATCACGATGATAGGCGGCTATCGGCTGCTCCGAGGTGGCTATCAGGTATTTCTCATCTGTGCCGCTCTCCTCGGCCCGTTCGCTGCCCTTGCCCACCACCTTGTACAGCTCTTCGTCGAACTGCGACAGCTGGGCGACTTCCTGCATCACCTCCTTGCGCATAAAGAAGGGCGTATAAAGGGGCACATAGTCCTTCTGGTAGAGCGAATGCAGGGCATGCTGTATGACGGCTTGCTCCAGGAAGACAGCGGCGCCAGTTAGGAAGTAACCACGGCCACCGGACACCACGGCGCCCTTCTCGGCATTCATGCCATCGATCATAACAATCAAATCCACATGCGAATATTTGCCACGCTTCGTACAATCACCAAATGTGCGCTCCACACGATTCTCGTCCTCGTCGTTGGAAACGGGCACCGATTCGTGTAAGTGATTGCCCACCTCACGCAGCGAAGTATTCCTGGTTTGCTCTGCCAGCTCCAGCGCTTTTTGATTCTCGGTCATCGCATCATCGATGAGCAGCCGCAATTGCTTGATTTGATTCACCGTCAACGCTTGCAGGGTTTCGGCTGTGATTTGCGTTAGATCCGAGCGTACCGAAGCGGGCACCTCCTCGCCATCGGCGCCTAGGGGCTCCTTCTTCTTCATCTTCTCGCCAATAACTTTGCTGCAGACGTTCTTCACCTTGTTCAGGTTGTCGGCTCGATGCCGACGCTGACGCCATTCGGTGTCCTTTTCGATGACGGTCTCGACGAGGCCGACATCTTTGAAGCGCTTCTTTTGATTCTCGCGCACCGCATCGGGATTGCCGCCCTTGTCTTTGCGAAATAGATCCAAATCCAAAACCATTTTCAACGCTTTTCAATTTAATCAATTTTCACTGCAGATTTCGTCAGCGATTCGTTTCGTTTACCAAAACGTGGCGGCTATAGAGATGAGCTAACCTATGCGTAACTGTTACTTTTCATCGACAGCTGTTAAGACCAGGGCTGCTACTGCTGGTGTATTGGTTCTTATTCGATTGAATAACTAGTGATATGGTTATTTGTTTTGATAGAACAGCCCTGGCTTAAACTGTTTTCTTATAAGAGTTACGATTTTATTGATTACAATACTGATTATATTTGCAAAACTTCAAACAAATACCATCATGTTTATTGCATTACTAACATGCGATTGCTGGAATCGTCACCTAATGGCCTGTGCTGATAGTTCTTGACACACCAGCCCTGGTTTGACATTTATTTACAAAAATTCTCATTGCAATCAACACAAAACTTTGTTGTTTTTATTATTCCGCCCAACATGGATTTGATTGACCGCGAACTGTGTGACATTCGCGCTAAATGTGAGCAGCAAATTGCAGATAGCAAAATAATAAGCTGCAGTGCGACACTGGTGCGAGTCGACCTGCTGCCACACCGCCCAAATCGCACGTTGACCGTTTGTTTACGTTTTCCCGAAGAAGATTATCCGAAAACTTCGGCTATTTTAGTGGAGCTGAAGAGTAAAGTATATTCTGAGAAATTTCATGCGGAACTAACTAGACTTATAGATGTTTATGCTAGGGAGCACTTGGGTGGGCCGCAGGCTTTGCTTGTGTTGAGCTTTGCTCAGCAATATTTGCTGGATAATCCCCTCTGCGTTTGCCTGGACGAAATTAAGCAACTGCGAATGGATCTAAAGAGCGATGAACAGGCGGATAATAGGGGCAGCCAATTAAAGCTGAAGCAACGCACGAGCAGTGTGGAATTGATAGCTCGTGGCGGAAACTATGTTTACCGAGTCACAGCCGCTGTACCCGACTCGTATCCCAATCAGTCGGTGGAGTTGCGTGGCCAGCAATCAAATCTCCCCAATGTACTGATTCGCTACCTCAATGGGCAGTCGCGGGAGATAGCGCGCCAGTGCGTGGAGCCACCGTTGCGACTGAACAAGGAGCAGCTGGCCAACTTTCAGCCCGTTCGCAGTCTCTATCGCACGCTAAAGTTTTGCCTCGAAGCTACACGAGATTTCCACCAGGAGTTGTGTCCCATTTGTGATAAAACAGTATTGCAGCAGGAGCCAGAGAACCTAGTGCTCGACGAGCATGCGGATGGCTTCGTAGAACGTGTCTACTGCGGCCACCTCTTCCATCAAGGGTGCCTTAAGCATTATTTGGCTGAGCCGCCGTTTCCAAAGGGTGGAAAGCTTTGCCCTGCCAAGCGGCGACATCCTCGATCCGATGCGCAGACATACATGGGCAGGGGAGGAACACTAGAAGCCACGTCCACTAGCTGCAAGAAAACCATAGAGCCTGGAGTATGTGGCATAAAGCTCGCTCACGATCGTTGGGTTGTGAATGTAAAGACAGCGGAAGCTCGTTGGGCACAAAAGCAGGCGAGGCAAAGGGAACTCGAAGAAGTTGTCGATTTTCTACAGTAGCTGAAGCTGGGAAGGATCGGATGGTAAACAAAGGTCTTCTGTACATATAATTCGTGTGTGATGTATATTATTCGAATACGCTTAAATGACTATAGATGCTATGAAATAAATAAAAAACAAATGATATTGAATGGGAGTGAATTAAATAAATAAGCGCCGCTTGCTGAATGGTAGATGAAAATGTAAAATCAACAAGTAGCTTGAGTTAGTATCGATTACTAATTATGCGACTAGCTCTGTCTACATTTCGTCTACTTTTCTCACTGGAAGCCTTTGGCCTGGATAGACTTAAAAACCGGTAATAATTTCATCATCCTCGTGCCGTTTGATGGGATCGCCTTTAAGCAATGCAGAAATCAAGCTGAAGAAAAGACAAATAGTTATTACACACATAGCTAATAGATAATATTATAAACAAACCAGTAAAGGCCCACAAAGAACATGACAAAGTAGTAACCCAGATAAATCATGCAATTCCTCAAATGCACTTTGAGCAGTCCTCGACTATGAATATCAACTGGATCATAAACGCCCAGGCTATCGCGACGCTGGCTCTGCAGCTCATAGAATAGCCAGACGGCCATGGGCAGGTTCATCAGAAACATGATCCAGTGCCTAAAGATAAATATGTTATTTATATATACTTAAACAGAAAAAATGTCTTCTAGACCAACCCGCAGATGAGGAGCATAGCGCAGAGCAGCGCCTGACAGCCAAATTTGGGAATGACCCAAAAGTTGAGTCGGCGACAGCATTCCTGTGCATTTAAATAGTCGCACTCCAAATCAGCTAGCGTCAGCACCTGCTCAAATTGAAATATTAAAATTTTGTTTTTCTTATCTCGTTTTTCGCACCTGCTACTTACATAGTAAATTAATAGCAGAAGTATACCGCCATATATAAGCAATGTGATGCAGAACACAGCTATTTCGGGTAGAAACATATTTGAGCTATTTATATTCTTTTCACTTAATACTTATGGGTCTTAAAATTAATTTAAATAAATATTTTTCAGCATTTTCGCTGTTGTTATTAATTAGTGCTGATGAACAGTGCTGGAAAATAGTGTAACATAGATATCACATCTCTAGCAGGCTGGCAACGCTGCACCGCACAAAACAGCTGTTTGTAAACAAACGAAACCAGTTTGTAATTTACTAAATGGGTGGAAAAAGCTATTATTGTGATTACTGTTGTTGCTTTATGAAAAATGATCTAAACGTGCGTAAATTACACAATGCAGGCATTTCACACACGGCTGCCAAGGCAACCTATATGCGTCGATTTGAAGGTACTGGGATATTTAGTTAAGCAAAAAATATTTATTAAATTCTATTTTTTAGATCCCAAAAAAGTTTTGGCTGTAGAGAGCACAAAAAAGCCATGCAAACGCTTCCTGGCCGGCTACTGTAGATTTCAGTTGTTCTGTAATTTCCGGCACTATAGCGATAAGCAAATGAAACAGCTCGAAAAAATAGGTGCATCATAAAATTCCAAGAAAATGTTTTATTTTTAACTTATTTACACACTTTTGCAGTGCGTCAACTGAAGAAGAAGCGTTCAAAGAAAAAAAGGAATCCCCAAGTAACCAGAAAATGTAATTTGCCACCCTCACTGCAACCTATTGACATGACTAAGCTGAAGCAAACAAATTGGGATTTAAATTGGGGCTAAAATAAACAAAATACAAAATTGTTGCAACATCAAAGTTTTCTATTATGCGAAACAGTGTTGGAAAGTATGTAAAGTACACAGATACAAAGAGCAATAATTTAGGGGAAAAACAAACTTAATTTTATTAACTACTACTTATATTTAGATATGCCTAGATTTACCATTCAGAATGCCAACCACTTTGTCCATAACACGTGATATTTTTAGATTAATGCGCAGCACTCGAGCAAATTCATAATGATACGATTTAGGACTGTGTCCGCTCAAGTTCTCCTCATCGGGATTTGTTAGATGGGCGAGCAAGAAATAACATAAATGCTCCAGCTCTCCCTCAATTGCATAGAAGAGGCTTACATTACCCGCTCGTGCCTCCGAGGCATTGAGTATCTCATGCTTTAGCGCACGTCTGAGCAATCTATCTGTATTATTGTCCAATCGATCACAAGCATGCTCATAGAACTTGGCGAATTGCTTCTCATCCTTGGCATCCATTCCCTTACTATTATTATCTATCGATGTATCTTCCTTCTCAGTCGAGGTCCGCTTGTAGACAGGTTCGCCCAGTTCCCTTTGATCGATTGTGTCGCATATTATCTCAGCCATTTTATAGCGATTATGGCGCACGGCGATATGTAGAGCTGTGTAGCCATCGTCGTTCGTCTTCAGGAGCAGATTAAGATCGATTCGCAACATCAGTTGACGCAGTGACTCCAACTGGACGTTATTGATAATAGCGAGGTGAAGCGCAGTGTTGGAGTCCTCATAGATATGATTGGGTAACACGCCTGCTGTCAATATCACTTTCACAATCTCCGCATCGCAATCGTTGGTCAGAGCCAGCTGCAGGCAATCCTCACCATCCGCGCTCACTAGTTCATTGAAGTCAACGTCGCCCTTCAGCTTGGACCAGACATAGGCTTGTCGTTGAACACCTTGAAGGTCGTCCACTAAAATAGCATCGTGAATAGGTCTGAAAGAGGAGTCAAAGTTAGAATATAATAATATATATTCAAATATACATATATAAATTTAAAGACTTACAGCAAACCTTCGACGGATAGGATATCTGCTTTTCGGTATTCATTTTCCATGGTTGTATAGATTGTGTTTTGAATATCATTGTTAATATAATTGTCCCATCCGTTGGCGAGGTCCATTATATTAACATTATTTAGATCGTCAGATAAATTGGAAAAGAAGGAGTCTCGACGTTGCATATCTCTCTTGGCTGGACTCTCCGACCGACTGGGGGCCTAAGACAAAAAAATCAATGGATTAGTAATGGCTGTAGGATTATCACGTGATTATCGCTTACGATTGTCTCCAGCTTCTTCTTTTTGGGCACCGGGAGGGGCGTCAATTGCTTCTCCTCGCGTTCTTGTAGCGCCATCTGGGCCGCTGATCTTTTGACCACCTGTGGCACACATGTGTTACGTTTACGGCCACGTTTTCGTGGCACTTTCGCAGGTGCTGTTAATTGTGTTTTGGGGGAGTCGGGTTCGTTTTTAGCTGGTTTCACGGGTTCTTTTTGATTCACGGGTTCTTTTTGTTTAACACACTCATTTAAATTTGCTTTACTACTGTTAGTCTCTTTAGTCTCTAATGTTTCTGTTTGTGTTGACGCATTCACTTTTAGGCTAATTGCTTTTTGTTTTTCATTTATGGAGCACTGCTTACACTGATTGGGGTTTAAGATAGAGGACTTATCACTTCGCCCGTTGATAGCGTCGATTACACGTTGTTGCAACGCCTTATCTGGGAGACGCATTAGCAACTTGAAGATCTCTTCGTAGATGGACTGAAACGATTTTCGTTGCATATACGTATCGGTTATTACATCGGATTGCATATGCATAACACGCACATTCGCTAAATTCATTGTAGTAGCCGCTGTTGTGACAAGGTTTTGTGGTTTCTTTATCACATCTGTTGTCAGAAACTTGTGCTGTGATTTCGTTAATAACACTTTCTTCATTGCTGACGTTTTGCTATATACTGCGGTGTATGTAGTCTACCTCGGGGGATGTCTTGATTTCCTCTGCTGAAAATATAAAATGTTGGTTTTTCCCCAACACGCTTGCACCAAATAATCCCGATCAAGTGCATGCCAGCGTTGATTGGCACATATCGTTTCGCTCTTGGCGCTTTTCAACACTGACCTATCGATGGCAATATATGGCCATATTTGAAAATATTTTAAATAATAACCACAATTTTTAAAAAGAAATTTAACTGGGCCTAAAATACTATCAAAACAGTTTAAAAGAGGTTGGCAACCGTTGCTTGCTTCTTCTTCGGCTTTTAGAAGCTAACGACAATCGTTCCAGTTCCAATCGATAACATTGAAGCAGGCATCTCCCTGTGAATGACAACAGCAGGCTGAGATTTTTTCCATCATTTTTTTTATTGTGCGTGTGTTCTATTGTAAAGGTAGACTCGTAACGCTTCATAATTAAGTTTATTTATTGAGATACGTTTAATGAGTGAGTTACGTGGTAATTGTTTGTAGCTAGAGCTGTGTCCACGCAGTGCACATTTATTTCGATTTAAAAGCAACTTTAGCCTCAGGTAGGCGTAAAATGGAGTCGCATTCACGCTATGGACGCAGCTTTTCAGGAGGCAACAGCACAGGAAGCGGCGGTGGGGGCGGGGTTAGTAACAGCGGCAACAATCAATACAGGCGCTACAGTCGCTCCCGTTCGCGATCCCGGTAAGCATACGCCTTCTCATCTGCATGACGTTAAAAATAGAATTATGTTTGCTAATTTATTTTTGTTGTTTTTAATGTAGTGATCGCAGCAGGGATCAGCCGGGCTACAGGCGACGCAATACGCGTTCGCGTAGTCGCGAACGTTCGCAACATTATCGCAACGCGGGCAGTGCCGACAAGGATCTGTATCGCGATTTAATCAACGAGGACTACAACGAGGACCGCGCCAGCAGCAGCAATAGCTACAACAACACCAATAGCAACAGCAACAATTATAACAATGCCCGAAACAATTATCACAATCGTCGTGAGATCGATAACTACGACAGTGAACGTGAACGCGACCGGGAACGGGAGCGAGATCGAGATCGGGATAGGGATCGGGATCGGGACAGGGATCGCGAACGTGAACGAGATCGCGACCAGCGCTGGAAAAACTACGATCGGGAGCCACGTGAACGCAACTCAGACTATGAGCGGGGCATGGAGCGCAGGTAAACTAGCCTATTTGTTACACTTGATTTATTGCAAATTTACTGACAAAAGTTTTCTCCTCTCTCGCTCTCGCTCTCTGTCTCTACTTTCTCTTGCTTTAGTCGCGACTATCGCTCGCATAACAATGGAAGCAACAATGGCAATAGCACCGTGGCTAAAGGCGGCAGTCGTGATCGGGATAGGCGTTACGCCTCCGATGAGGATAGCTATGACAGCGATGAGAGCGACGATAGCCAATATCGTCGCAATCACATACGCACCAGCAACGAGGCACTGCATCAAATAATCATATTTGATTTGAAAAAGCACATCACCGAGGCGGACGTAAGTAGTTGAACACGGATCCAAATATTTGTTCCACGTGGACATGATGGAATATAGAGAATACGTGATGGAAAATAGAGACTAAGTTATAATTCGAGCTGCACCAATGTCTTGAGCCTTACAGCTCAACAGCTTTCGGCCGGACACATTTAATATCTAAATTTGTTGGAGTTTGAGTTTTTAGTATCGAAATTTGTATATTGATCCTGATAACGAGCTGAACATGTCTGTCTGTCCGCTTGTTTGTAAGCATTTAGAATATAGAATATTGTTTTTATATCATTTATATTCCCCGCTATTGTATTTATCCAATTCCACAACATTTATAATAATTTTCTTTCATATTCCACAGATTATGAGCGCTTTGATACAAGTAAACATGGAGCCCTCATCCATACGGCTGATACGCAAGCGACCTACAGGTGGGTTACAAACACGCACATAATTACCTTAAGAGTTAGCTTTATACGATATAGTGAGATATAAATATACACACGATGCGTAAGTAATATATAAACTGTGTTAACTCGGCAGAAGTTCACATCCAGCAGCTAAATTGATTACAAACCATACTTGGCCTTATAAAAAAAGAGAAAAAAGACAACAAAAACATATCCTCCAAAAAATATTAAAAAACAAAGAACATATTTTGACAAAAACCATTTTGTATCTGCTTCTATCTAAAATTTAGGTGCATCACGCGGTTTCGCATTTGTCGAGTTTAATACCGTTGAGGAAGCAAAACGTTGGATGGATATAACCCAGGTATCACAACAACAAGAAACCAACTAGCAAAAAAATAAAAATATAAAATTAAATATCTAAAAAACCAAGAAAAACCCGACAATAATTGTGAAATATATGCCTTAAGTTCAGTTCAACGAAAGCCAACAACAACAACTAAAATAATACCCCAACTGCTATTTCGTATTGTATTACATAGTAGTATATATAATCCATGTACCCCAGGCCAGATTCATTTTTTGCGGACTTTTGGTTTGTTACTGTTTTTTCTTTCAATTATTTATTTCCTCTATAAAAGAGAGAGTGAGCGAGAGAGAGAGATTCTCTAAGAGAAGTTCTAGCTTCTGGGCAGCAACTGAACTTTTCGCAAACATTTCAATTTATTGTGCATACGCGGGACAACATAAACAACAAAATCAGCAACAGCAACAACCTCAGCAACAACAACATCAACAGCAGCTACTGCAATGAACAACAACAAACAGCGAGCGCGCGTTTTAAGACACAGAAGCAACCTGGTGACTGTGTACTCTGTGTGCAACATTCCAAAGATCAAGCCACTAATCGTCCTCCTTCTCTCTCTTTTCTCTTCCTGTCTCATTCAGGGCACCTTGGAGCTGGGCGATCAACGCGTCTCGCTGCAATACAGTCACAAGCGAATCACCGATTGGCATTGCGTTAAGGTGAGAGGGAAGCTAAGGAAGTCAAGTCTGAAACTATATAAATAAAATTTCCTGTCTCTTCCAGTGTGGCGTCTTCAATTTCAAGCGGCGCTTCTCCTGTTTTCGCTGCATGGCATCGCGAGCGGAAAGCGAAAGCATTTTCTCTGGCGGCGGCGAGGGCATCGATGAAGTTAGCCCAATTCTAACCAAAAGTATAGACAGACAATTTAGATAAGAAATTGTAATCAATAATAACCTCCCATCATTTGAATTCAGAGATCATGCTGCGGAATCTGGATGCGCTGACCAACGAGGAGAGCGTGCTAACAGCGTTGCAGAAGGTGCTGCCGAAACAGGCCAAAACAATCAGCAAGGTGCTCATCAGTCGCGATACGCTGACTCAGACTTCGCGTGGCATTTGTTACTTACATTTCGAGACTCTCGTCGATTCGATGGAGGTGCACAATGCGCTGACATCGCTGGACCCGCCGCTGCGGATCGATGATCGTGATGGTGCGTGGCTATGCCCAGCGGCAATCAATTGCAACCAATAATTGCTTAATCTAAAATCTTATTTATAGTCTGCATCAGCTACTGCATGGATGCAGAGAATCGTCAGCCAAAGGATGCGCAAGGAGCCAGCAGCCAGGTCGGCGCCCTTCAAGTTGGCGCCTTGGACGCTATGCCGCCTACCGATGCTGGCGGCGTTTATACCTTAGCCGATGTGCCACGCCTCGCCGAGTATAGTGCCTCGCTGTATGCCTCCACGCCGGCGGAACATGCGCATTATGTGCAGTATTATACGGATTACTATATGGCCGAGATTAAGAAGGGTGGCGGTCAGTTCGGCGGCGGCGAGACCCAGTTGACGGAGGCTAATTCAGGCGCTGCGGTTGCCCTCTCCGCCATACAGCGCAAGCAGAAAAAGATGAACAGTATTGAGACGACGGCCACAGCGGCGGCCACGGCGGCCGCTCAGGCAGCTGCTGCCGTAAAGGCAACCTTTGCGGCTCAGAGTGTGATTGCGCCTCGAGGAAATGATGGCAAAACGTATCGTGAGTGGATCAATTTGAATATCTATATATATAGGCTAATCAAATATGGAGCAGGCTCAATACGCTTCACATTTGATTAGCTGTTTCTCGACGAATTCAGTTATCCGCATCTATATCTCTCCCTCTCTATAGCCACGCCCGATGTCTCGCGCTATCAGTACGACGAGACGTCTGGCTACTACTACGATCCCAGCACGGGCCTCTATTACGATGCCCACTCGCAATACTATTACAACAATGAGACGGGCGCCTATTTGTATTGGGATCAAAGACGCAGCACTTATATACTAGCCACGCCAGCCTCCACACAGGCTGCGCTGCAGGAGTCGCTGGCGCAGGAAGCCGCACAGGCTGACAAGGACGAGGAGTCGAGCAAGAAGGAGAAAAGCAAAGACAAAGACAACAATAAGCACGACAAGGTCAAGGTGGCCAAGAAGATTGTCAAGGACATGGAGAAGTGGGCCAAGCAATTGAATCAGAAAAAAGACTATACGGTGGTGGCCACACCACAGCCCATACTGCCAGGACGCGGCGATCCTGGCGAGGGGCCGAGCACTTCACGCGCTGCAACTGGCGCCTATGCAGACGTAGGCTTCTCTATATTGGAAAAGAAGGAGCGTGGTAAGCTGAGCGATTATGTACCAGCTGCTGCACCAATGAACAAGCTTGTAAATGCCTATGGAGGTGGCTCCGATTCGGATGAGGATAATGGAGGTGCAAGCGCAGGTGCGCAGGCTGCCGGCCCTGTCGATGAAATGGACTATGTTGACTTCCAGAAACTTACCTGTCTGCTGTGCAAGCGTGCCTTTCAATCTCACGACATACTGCAGAAGCATTTAAAAATGTCCAATTTGCATAAGGAGAATTTGGCTAAATTAAATGCGGGCAGCGCTGCCGGCGCCAGCAGCGAGGATGCAGCGAGCGCGGGCTTATCGTAAGTGTAGATACTGCTTATCGCTTATCGTTTATCGAATTCAACTTGTTTATATCCGAATAGCTATCGTGATCGCGCCAAGGAGCGACGTTTAAAATACGGCGAGGGTGATCCTCCGCCACCAAATCGCAGTCGCGAGCGGTTCGAGCATGAGATCAAGAATTTACAGACGCGTCAAAAGGATTCTGGAGCAGCACCTGCCATGCCCATTAGCTCAAACAACGTGGGAAATCGCTTGCTCCAGAAAATGGGTTGGTCGGAGGGTCAAGGACTGGGACGTAAGAATCAGGGACGCACGCAGATCATAGAGGTATTTTGCAATTCTAACTAAATTTGTTCAGTGTATTACAATTGGTCATTTCTGTTCATCAGGCTGAGGCTCGTTCGAATAATGTCGGTCTTGGTAACAAGAGCAGCACTTTGGCACCTGGCGACGATTACAAAACGTATATTAAGAAAATGATGAAGTCTCGCTATGAGAATGCTTAAACTCAATTAAATATTTAAAATTGTTTAATCGTATTTAACAACTTAAGTTTGATATGTCTGTATTTCAGTTAGCTGCATACAAATGGTTTACCTCAAATTTCACAAATTTAAATATTGTCATCTACCAGTCACATTACTTAGCTGAAATAATTGTAGTTTAATAATTGTATATAATAAATATATATACATATATGAAAAATTCAATGGTGTTTAATTCGAAATGATATATATCGATAAATAGCCAGTGGTATTGCTTGCGCGAGTATTTTGTGGCTTAAATTGAAAATTTCTTGTTTGCGAAATGCGGTCACACTTTCTGCGGTAAATTTTGTTTACGTTTCGTGCAACACGTGTTTTTATTAACTTTTCTTAATAATTGTATGTATAATTAAAGCAAAACTGTGACAAATGAGTTCCAGCAAGCTACCTCCTTTGACCTACAAGGTTGTAGCCGAGTGCTCCGTGTCAAAAGCGCGCGCTGGTCTAATGACACTGAGGTAAGTGTTTTATTGAAGACTGATTTGATTGATTACTTAACGAATCCCTCGCAGGCACAGCGAAGTACGCACACCTGTATTTATGCCTGTGGGCACCCAAGGCACCATGAAGGGTATACTGCCAGATCAGCTAATAGAACTGGACTGCCAAATATTGCTTGGAAACACTTATCATTTGGGTCTTCGGCCTGGAATTGAAACCTTGCAAAAGGCTGGAGGACTTCACAAATTCATGTCCTGGCCCAGGGCAATCCTGACGGACTCTGGCGGCTTTCAGATGGTCTCGTTGCTGCAGCTGGCGGAGATCGATGAGCATGGCGTTAACTTCCGTTCGCCCTTCGACAATAGCGAATGCATGCTAACGCCCGAGCATTCGATGCAAATTCAAAATGCAATTGGAGCGGATATCATGATGCAGCTTGACGATGTGGTGAAGACGACAACGACGGGGCCGAGAGTTGAGGAGGCAATGGAACGCACCATACGCTGGGTAGATCGCTGCATTAAGGCACACACACGCGATGACGAACAATCCCTGTTTCCTATTGTGCAGGGAGGATTGGAGATTCCTCTGAGAGAGCGCTGCGTCTCAGCGCTGATGGAGAGACAAGTGCGCGGCTTTGCGGTTGGCGGTCTGAGTGGTGGAGAGAGCAAGCACGACTTTTGGCGCATGGTGCACGTCTGCACGGATCATTTGCCTAGGGATAAGCCCCGCTATCTGATGGGCGTGGGCTTTGCCGCGGACCTGGTCGTTTGTGTTGCGCTGGGCATCGATATGTTCGATTGCGTCTTTCCCACGCGCACTGCTCGCTTTGGCTGCGCCCTAGTGGACAGCGGACAGATGAATCTGAAGCAACAGAAGTATAAGCACGATATGGAACCGATTGACAAGCAATGCAATTGCAATACCTGCAAGAGGTATACCCGCTCATACTTGCATCACATAGCCACCAATGAGAGCGTCTCGTGCTCGCTGCTCAGCGTTCACAATGTGGCCTATCAGCTTCGTCTGATGCGCTCTATGCGGGAGGCGGTGCAAGCGGATGCCTTTCCACAATTCGTAAAAAATTTCATGGCGCGACATTTCGGCAGCGAACCGATTCCCAGCTGGATTCGAGAGGCCTTGGCTGCAGTCAATATTGAATTGCCGCCAGATGCACAGGAGGAGCAAGCAGTGAACAGCTGATCGCCTAAAGACTGTAAATTATAAACAGCTGACTTATATGCAAACTATGTATATATATATGTATGTATATTAAAAAGCGATGTTTTTAACTTTTGAGCTAAAAATAACAAAAGAGTTTTTGTCAACATTTTCCCTTGCGGAATAATGACATTAATACCTACACTAGTATTGAATAAAAAAATACACTTAAATAGTTATAATACAAAGAGAGTATTCAATAGTCGTTTATTACATTCCATTCTCTTAATGCAAAGCTTACCTCGAATAGTCTGACGTAAAAGCTCACCGCTTACCTATGGGAAAAAAACTACCACACTCAAATGACGCATGCGAATAATCGAACGCCGCATCAAATACGATCAATTCATATACAATATGTGTACGTTATTTTCGCTTTTCTTTAAATGTAACCACGCATACATATGTAAATGGCAAATTTGTATATGTGCGTGTCGTTGTGTGTGTTGTCTGCTGTTCTAATATTGCCTTCTCCTCCCCCACAAGAAACGTGCGCTTTTTTGGCCATTGCTCTCTTTGTTCTTTACACTTAGCTCTCTGGCTCTCACCGTGAGAGTCTTACGTATGCGTCAGAGACGAAGATCAACGAGCATTTTCAACAGTTGCGGACACATTGGCCGATTCAGTGTGTCTCAAAGCGTCGTCGTCGTCGGTGATCGCGCGTTTGTTGTCGTTGTCGTAGTTGCGCTTTAACGGTTTTTGCAGGCGCTCAGTCTACGCATTTCAGTAAAAATACAGCTCACCCCGTCTTCCAAATCAACGCGCTAATAATAAATAAAAACAAAAATTGTCAATTTTGAAACCAACAACTACCAATTGTAAGATATTATTGTTAATTTATAGCTACAATCAATCACAATAGCTAATGCAAGTGCGTGCGTGAGTGAGTGAGTGAGAGAGCTTGATTGGCTGTTTTTGTTGCTGCTGCTGGAGTTTCTTGCGTTCGGTCGTATGTGTGTGAGTCTGTGCTACGTTCTGCTGGTGTTGCCAAATGTGGTCAAAGTAAAATAACAAAAATACATATGTATGTGCATAAATACACATACAGACACTACCTTTCATATATATGTGTATATATATGTATGTATTTATGTGTGTTTTTTGTGTGTATGTATTATTCATACATTATAAAGTGCTTTTATGGCTTGAAATTTTTTGCGAGTTTTTTGTCGCATTTGTTGCGTTTGCACCTCGTTCAGTTCAAGAGCCTCCTGCTTATATTTTTATTGGATTAATGATAGCAAGTCAATTTAACGGGTATTTGAACTAACCAATCCGAAAATCATTTGCAAATTAGATGAATTCAAGGCCCATTCAATAAAATTCTATCTTTGCATAGGAAAATTTAAATTTCTTCTTTTTATTATTTTCATTTTGCTAGCCATCGTTTTGCCTGTGTTTTTGAAATTTTCATGGTTTCATTTCTTTAAATAAGTTTTATTTTTAGCACATTCAGTTATTTTTGTGTATATTTTTTTCTCACCAAGTTTTTGCCTCTGTTATTCGTTTGATTATTTTTGAATATTCTTGGCGTTTCTTTGGAATATATGTGCATACACCTATACACATACACTTTATGTGTGTGCGAGGAGATTTGTGTATTAAATGTTTTGGTTACACGTAAAATATGTGGCAAAGGCCTTTAGCAGGCGCTAGATGCCAATTGGTTGGATTCCAATAAGAACTGCGAGTCTAATTGAAAACGGAACACTTTTAGCCATCTCACACTGAATAACAGTGCATAACACAATATTGACAATAAAATATAAACAGTGCTTATGATTGAACAGAATCAATTTAAAGATAAAGTGAGAAAAGAAATAACAATAAGAGTTTGCTTATACATGTGTGTGTAAGGGAGAGTCAAGACAAATGGCAAATGACCAATAAGAGAGTCAAATGCTGCTAATCATAATGATGATCATACATACATATACATATGCAGACTTATGCATATGCGGAGCGTCAAATCTTTACCGTTATAAGTATATTTGTATTTTTAAATTATGACACACTAGATAGCCACACTTTGCGCGCTAGCGCTATCGCTCTCTTTTACTTACGCTCTCTCGCAGTACTTAGCTTAACTCTTTGAACAGCTGCTGAGTGGGTGGCGCAGACGTAGGCGCTGGCTGGTGGTGTTTTTGTTGTCGTTGTTTCTTTTTGTTGTATTTCTTGTTGTTGTCGACTTCAAAATTTGCTACACATGATTTAAATGAGCCGCTAAAGCGCTGTTCGCCGTAAATAAGCAGAGAGCGTGATATAAAGACGAAACACAAATTAAGCGCATGCTAAACGTAAGGCATTTTCGTTAGAGAGAGAAACAGAAAGAAAGAGAGAGGAGAGGAAAGCACTGCATGAAGGAAATGAACTGATGAACAAATTAAGCGAATATTAATCGCAAGCCGTTTGGCAATGAAAGAGAAGAGACTATAAGAGCGAAGAACATCATGAAAAAAGCTTTTGTCAGTTATTTATATTGATTGATTACAATTTATGGTTGCTGTTATTGACACGTTACTTCTTACACGTGCTCAAATCAAATCCACATGATTAATTAAAATTGATATTATTTTTATATTTTATATTCATCAGGAAGCATTGATTAAAAATATAAAAAATGTTTATATTGCCAATAAAATTATATTTTTCGCGCTCTTTAAAAAAAAAAACCCAAAATTAGAAACAAGTTTTTATAGGCGTATGCAAATTTTTTGGTGTCCGAAATTCCATAAATTCTTTAACAAGCTTGATGATTTTTTCTCTGCTCTCTAAAAGATGTTCTAAATTGTTTATTGTTTCTAAAATGTAATAAAAACGTAAATTAAATTTTTTCATATTTCCAAATCTAATTGTAGATGGTGACTAAAACCTAAAGATTTGCACACACAAAATTGTTGAAGAAGGCCTTTCGAATTATGTGATTCATGTTTTCTCCAAAAATAAAGAGAAATATTTTTTCTGGCCACGTGGGAGTCTGTACTATCCAAAGCTTTTACCTTTCTGTTTATGCTTAGTCACTTGTTGACTATTTATGTAACGGATTTGCGGCTTAACAAACGCCCACAGTAAAAATTTCTGGACTTCAATTTTCGCATAATAATAATTTTTATTATTTTTTAATATTTTATAAAAATATTTGTAGTAATTTTTAGCGAAACGTGGGTGAATAAACTTCACGCTGTTTGATTTTATGTTTAGCCTAACTCAAATCAACAACAAAAAATCAGCAACAATAATCTACAACAACAAAAAACAACAACAAAATGTGGTTGTCAATGAATGAAGCTGTTGTTGACTTTGAATCGGAGAGCGAGAGTGAATGAAGGCATTTTGTCTGCCAAATTCAATGCGAAGCGAGTTGGTCAAGATATATTCAAAAAACCAAAAACAAGTTCGTTAACCTTGAAAAAAGCTAAAATTGTAGTGTTGTGCAGTGCCTTAAGTGTTGACTAATGAAATTTGCAAGAGTTGTGCTCGAATAAATGTGTCAGACTTTCGTTGCGAGATAAGACAATACGTGGGATAATATCTATATAGACTATAATAAATGTAAATTGTGTATATAATAATGATTTTTAAACTCAACTACTAAATATTTAATTAGGGATCGTGGAAGTGATTTTTTAAGCTTCAACTAAATATCAATTGAGTGAAATAATAATGGAATAAGTTAGAGTGCTGTGAATACTACTTAGGTTTCTATAAGTGATGATGTATGTAAATAATTTATATCCTTTAAGTATTTGCTCTTCGTTTTAGCTCTAAGTATTTCTTCGAAGTATTCTTAAAAGTATTTCCTCTAAGCATTTCCTTTAAGTATTTCCTCTTAGTTCTTCCTCTTTGTGCTTCGCCAAAGTATATCCTCTACGTATTTTCTCTACTTATTTCTTGTAAGTATATCTTCCAAGTATTTCCTCTAAGTCTTCAATGTTTATTTGAACGATTAGGCCCTTCCCTTCACTTTACTGCACTGCACGATTGACATCCACCAGGCCTAGGCGACTGAAGAAGTGCTCCAGCTGTCTCCCTTTATATAGGGCAACTTTCACTCAAAGCCTTACTCGCTCTCAAGTATTAAACCAGCCGTCAGGTAGGGATCGTTGCAGTTGAGCATTAACTGACCAATGAGAACATCCTCTGCTGCTGCAAGTATTCTAGCTTCGGTTTATTTAAATACCGAATGAATACTATAGCACACATATAGAGAACAAAAATGATCTTCTTCGTCTCTTGCTTTTGTTGGGCAGAGAGCAGACAGAGTTACGAACAGCTATATAGGTAAAGAGGCACACATTCAAATTCAATACATGTCATACTGTTACTTTACAGTTACTATTTAATGGTAATAATAGTATATTAATAAATATATTAGCTGAAGATGTAAACAAAAATATGTATTACATTATTTGTTGTATTTTGTTTTTTAATGAAAACTTTATAATGCTTCTTAAGAAGTTAAATTTTTAGCATAAATTAATAATTTAGGCTGGTTAAAGCTCACATGGCATCAAGTTTTTTTTATATATATATATATACGTAATGGATCACTTAAGCCCCTTTCAAAATACATTTTGGTAAATCCCATAGCTATATTTTTCATTTTCATAATATTTTGCCCCACTTTAAGCCATAAATTATTACCTTAAGCTTAATCATAAATCTACAAACATTTATTTAAATATGATACACATATAGTATTAAATATTTCATAATATATCAAGATACTTTTTGTCTTATTTAGCTCATGCGTTTTTGCAAAATTTATGAGCCAAGAGAAGAGGCGTTCGTTCGCTCGATCGTAAAGTGTGGATAAAAAGTAAAGCGCGGCATTATAAATCAAGTTCAATTCAATTAGAGCGCTGGCCTCATAACCTACGACAATTTATTAATAATTTTAGCTCTAGCACAGATATATCTAATAGTGTACGTGTGTGAGTGTGTGTGTGTGAGTGTGTATATGTGTGTGCCGAGTGCGTCGAGTCTTTGTGTGCTTATATAGAAGCAGAAATTGCATATGCAAAACAAAAACAAAAAAAAAAAAAAAAAAAAACACAGAAAAGGCAAACGTAAATAGAACATAGAAATATGTTGAAGGGTTTAGTTTGCCAGAATTATCAAACATCTTAGCAATAAATGTTTAAGTAAAAGTAAAAATAATATTAGAAGTACAAGGGATTTGAATTAGACAGGAAAAAATGTTTTAAAAGTTTATTATTATTAAATAACATTATTATTTTATTGTTAACAGTTAAGTTATCTAAGGAAATTGAAGAAAAGGTATTTAATAATGACTAAAGGAGAAAAATTAAAATTAATAATTAAGAAAATAATTAAAATTTGTTAAAAAAAAAAAATAATAATAAATGAATAATAATAATTGAATTCCAAATTTTAAAATTGATATTTAGCTTATATATATTTTCTACATATATGTATAAAATATTTTAGAAATGTCTTATCTAATTATTTAGCACTTAAAATTTTTCATACAATTATCAAAATATAAATATAAAATATAAATAAATTATCAAGATCTCTCAAAAAAACCCGAATGCTCCACGTATTCAAAACTCCTGTTAGAACTCGTTTTATGCTTAGAGGGTAGAAAAAGTAATGAAAGCATTTCAATATGCACACAAATACATGCACATATATTTTAATATATTTTTGCCTGCCTGCCTGCATGCGCATATTCAATGGCCATAAATTGTTAAACAAATGTTATATTGTAATCAATATACAGATGTCTCTCTGTAAGTGTGTGTGTGTGTGCGTGTGTCAATAATTTATGCGGAAGTCTCGCCCACACAGAAACATGTTGTAATTGTCAATGTAGCAGAGGGGCTTGCGACTTGTTGGAATGAGAATGGGGGCGTGGCGCTCATACTCATATGGTATTCATATCAGCATGAATTTATATCCATGTAGCACTCATTATTTTGCACGAACAATGTTCGAATCTTGTTAATAATTCAATAAAAAAAAAAAAAAAAAAAAACAAACGAAACGTGCGCGAAAGATTTTTCCAATTAAATTGTCAAAAGCAAAATCGAAGCATAAAAATAAAATAATAATATATATATAGAAAAGTGCTATAAAATACACAGACATTGCGTAATAATTTTCAGGAATTATTTTTGGCCATACGCAAAATTTGTTAACAAAAAAAAACTAAACTTTTTTATGTGTGGAAAAATTATATTTATGTTTGCGACGTGGCTGGCCTTGCCTGATAGGCCACGCCCCAACGCCCACGCTGTGAATGTGGCACAAATTTTGGCACGATTCTAGCTGATCGATAAATGCATTAAATAGATATATATCGAGTCGCAGCAATTAGTCTTTCCATATCGTTGATCGCTTCCATACGAGATCGAATTTGGTATTCGATTTGAATTCAAGGCAGCAAAATTTGCTCAAATTATATATATGTATATGACTATATAATAGATATAAAATGATATGCCAAGATGAAATCAGTTAAACTGAAGGCTGGCAATTGCATTCAGTCTGAATTGTCAGCGCGTTGACATGCTGAATGTTAATGAATCGCATTCGCCAATCGCATTCGATTCGACTTGAACTTGATGAAAGCCAATTGGAATGACTATTCGATTTGCTGTGCAGCAATGCACGACATTAGGAATTTAACATAACATACTTAACATATTTTGAGTAACATTTTGGTGCTCTATCTAGCCTCAAAACTTTGGGAGATGTAAATTTATTTCGCATTCTTTGATTCTCTTTGGGAAAATGTTTATGGTTTCTGTATTTATGAGCTTGCAAAAAATTAACAGGGTATAATAACTTTATAGATACTAAAAGTTCTCTATTATGTTGTATTAACATTTATACCCACTGTTAATTAGCTACATCAAAATATTCTGTTATGCATTTAATGTAAATTCTGTTATTTAAAATATGTAAACAGACTCAGAATGTTAATAGTATTCTTAACATTAGATTAATACGTAATTATCTGATTCATTTCTACCACATTTTCTAATACGAGTTTTATATTTGATTGATATAAATTTTAGTTATTATAGAGAACATAAATATTTAGCTTTTCGCTTCAGTCTCTTCCGTTATTACACAAATATTTGTTCAAGTTCGTTGTTTATTTTGCTTTTTTGTCTAGCTGCAAATTGTATGTAATTAATTTGCACATGATTTGCGCTGCTAAATGCGGCTCTATTGTTGTGGTTAACATAATAATATTCGGCTCGATTTCAGATGTGATTAAGTTCTGACTATGAAATGTCTTTATAAAATCAACTGTGATTGACGGTGCCTAACCGCAGCTAGAAGAAATTATTAGATGACAGCATATATTGTATTGCTTTAACCAGGAACAGTTCGAATGACAGACATCGGCATATATACTATATATATATCAGTGTATACAGACATATTTATGTATGTGTGTGTATACAGATGATCTGTTGTCAGTATTTAATAAAGACATTCATAAAAGTCATTGTCAATTTGGAATTCGGGCGCATGTTTTGAACTCAATTGGACTTTCAGAGCTTTGGGTAAGGTCAATGCAAATTGCCTAGATATATGCTGAAGACATATGAAGATATATACATATGATGTATGTATATGTATGTACTTAAATTTGTGTTTATTGAAAGTGTTTGCCGGCTCTTGTGTTTATTTGTTAAATGTCTAAAAATTATTAGTTCTATATGTATTTTGCATAAGCAAATATTTAATTTAAATATATTTATATATCTACAGACAAATAGATATCTGTACTCGTCGTACGATTTTCACTAATCTTCGCGCTGTGTGTGTTGTTTTTGAATGCTAAAATTAGCAAAACGCGTGGGCGACTTTAGCATTGAATATGGACAAGGCCTGTGACGTGCTATGAAGGCGTCTAACATAATGCTAATGATAATACGTATATACTTATATGCTTATATGTGTATTTACAATTGCAGATCCAACGAGCAACACACGACAAACATGTATGTGCCATCATAGGAGGACCGTGAACATATGTTTTGGAGCAGTATCATAGCCAATAAGTAAAGCCCGGAACTGGAAATTCTAATATATGCCTACATATATATTTATGTATATGGACTATAGACAGATGATATACACACTTGTGAGTACTTACTTCTCAAGTTTATTTAGATTTTCTGAAGATTTTGAACAATTTACATTTACATAGTATTTATATACATTTTTAATGTATTATATTTTTTTTTATTATTTATTTATTTTAAATTTATTTAAAATATATTTTTTTTAAAAAGGTCCTTTATTTTATTTAAAAAGGTCCTTGAATAAAATATTAATTTTTTTTTAATTTCAATGTGTTTGGATAGGAATTTAAATTTTTAAATATTTAATTTAATTTGTAATCATATTTTATGTTTATATTTTTTTACTAGCACTTATATAGTCTGTTATTTTTACTTTTTTTTATTTTAATATACAATAATATTTTATTAAGATTTTAGACAAATTAAAAAAAATATAGATTTATTTTCTGTCTAAAAGGTAATATTAATAATTATTATTTTTTAAATATATTTTATCTTAGCTAAAAAATAAATAATTGTTAATATTATAATTATTATTACTATTTGTTTTATTCAATATTTGGAGTCAATTATCTTATATTTTCTTTCCATTTGTTACAGATTTTACAGAGCAGCGCATAGAATTAAAGAAATCACATCAGATTTATAAAGCAACACCCCCGCACACATACTACACACACACCAACACACATACACACACAATGGGCAAGGACTACTATAAGACTTTAGGCATCACAAAAACTGCCACCGATGACGAGATCAAAAAGGCCTACAGAAAATTGGCGTTACGTTATCATCCTGATAAAAATAAAGCGGCAAATGCTGAAGAGAAATTCAAAGAGGTCGCCGAGGCATATGAAGTGCTCTCCGATAAAAACAAACGTGAGGTCTATGACAAGTACGGCGTGGATGGACTGAAGAGTGGAGGTAGTTAATAGAACTAGTTCAATTGTGTGATCAAATGAACTACAGATGCTGCAAGCTCCAACTAAATTCTTTTTCTATTTTTCTAGGCGCTCGTAATGGCGGCGGTGGAGGCGGAAATACATTTACATATCAGTTCCATGGCGATCCTCGGGCCACATTCGCACAGTTCTTTGGCAATAGCAATCCGTTCTCATCGTTCTTCGATATGGACGATAATCTGTTCGATAAGAATGTGTTCGATTTGGATACGGAGCCAGATTTTTTCTCATCGCCATTTGGTGGTCTGGGCTCAAGGCATGGCCTAGGCAGCGCCTTCAGGTAGTCTAAGTCTCTCACTCTCGATATATATAGTCGAAACCATTGCTAACTTGTTGTAGGCCCTCTTTTAGATCACACTCCTTCAATGTGCACACCCCCTTTAAAAAGGAACAGAAACAGGATCCGCCCGTTGAGCATGATCTCTATGTGACGCTGGAGCAGATCTATCATGGCTGTGTTAAGAAAATGAAAATCTCACGTTATGTCGTCCAGCCCGATGGTAGCTCGAAAAAGGAGGATAAAGTCCTGCAAATATCTATTAAACCCGGCTGGAAATCAGGCACCAAAGTCACGTTCCAGAAGGAGGGCGACCAGGCGCCCGGCAAAATACCCGCGGATATTGTGTTCATCATCAGGGATAAGCCCCATACCATGTTCAAGCGAGAGGGCAGCGATTTGCGATATACGGCGAGGCTGACACTCAAGCAGGTGAGTGCGAAAGCTGATAGAATTGAAGTGGAGAATAGTAGAACAGTAAAACAGAAGAACAGTAGGACAGTAGAAGAGAACAGTAGAAGAGGGAACAAGAGCATAGCACAACAAGGGAACAGTGGAACAATAGAAGACTCAGTAGAAGAAGAATAATAGAAGACACAGTAGAAGTAAAAGAATGGAACAAGAGGACAGCAGAACAATATGAGAGTGGAACAGGAGAAGATTGGCACAAGAGAACAGTAGATCAGTAGAATAATAGAATATTGGAACAAGAGAACAGTAGATCAGTAGGAGACATAGTAGAAATAGAGTAGAAGAACTGTAGACGAGTAGATGTATATTGTGATATAAGCTGTCAAAGAGGCGACCTGTCTTAAGAGAGCTTATCTAACATTTATAGGATCGGTTATAGGGTGTTATACTTGGGTTTTTTTACAGACTACTCTATAATGTATCAACAAGGGTTTAATCTAAAGTAAGCAAGCTAATTTACTTTTTAGCTTAAAAGTGAAAAGGTATATATATTAAAATATATTTTTATGAACTGCGATCAGTAGTTGCTCAAAGTCTTATAAACTTATCCAATACTTAAATCATATTGGATACCCGAGTAGCTTAGATGATCATAATGTCTTGCATCTAGCTCTTGAAATGCTCTAGATCTAATCAGTCATATAAGTAGACAAGGGGATAGGCAAACGAAAGACAGATTAAATAGAGAGGTCGTATGTAAGAGAAAACCTACTTTAATGGGTTGACTGATGGCAGTCTATGCCCCTTCGACTTTTATTGCCAAAAAAAAAAAAACATAATAATTATAGTTTTATGTACTTTTTGAATTAGATTCTCTCAATGTTTCACTTCTTAGAAGTGCTAAAAAGTTTATTTAAATTTTTCCACTTAGAAGGTCAGAGTTTTTTATTTGCGAACTGCCATAAAGCACATTGCCCATGTTCATGTTCATGTTAGTTGGCCAAAAGCAAGTCAAGTCAACTACCAAATCCAGTGTTAGCAGTCATAATTGAAGATATTACCAAATGCCGTCATGCAATCATAATTAAACGCGAGCCGCACGTAAAAACCGTGTCAAATATTTCTAAATAGAAATCGCAAAATGACACTTTTAATAGCTAAAGCTGCGATTCGGCCAAAAACAGGCAAACATAATTTATATAGATTTGATGAAAAGCTGAAAAATCATTTCCATGTTGGGCAGAATGGAGAACCCCAAAAATATTTACTAAATTTGTCGCACTAACAAGCAATAAAATGTTAAAAATGTCAAAAACTTGGAGAGCAACTATTTAATCTAGTTAATGCAATTAACAATTTTAACATGACTGCGCAGTGCTCAGCATGTTTGTTGAACTATGGGGCTTTAGCCATTTTGTTTTCTACTATTTTTTAATGATTAAAGAATGATTTTTTTCTTAAATGAAAAAAAAAAAAAAAAAAATAAATAAATAAATAAAATAAAAATAAATATATATATATATATATATATATTTTTTTTATATTTTTGGTTCTGCTTGCCTTTTTTTTGGCTTCAACGCAGTTGACTGTGTAAAAATTTAACACCTCAGCTGCAGCGTCAACTGCCGAGCCGTTTATATATATATATGTATATATAGAGCTATACAAAGAGACAAACATATAATTCATATGTATTTATATTGAGTGTGCGTACGTGTTGGCTTGACCAACTGCTGTGCCCGCCTAATTGAAACTTGACCATGTTGACCAAATTTGACAGCCAGCTAGCCTGGCAGCCAGTTTGATCGCGTCGCTCGCGTTTATGGTAAATTTGCCATAACCATAACGCGCTTTATTCATTATAATTTAATTTAGGCGCTGGCCGGGGCTCTAATTGGGCGCCATACTGTGAGAACTCTGCCTGAGTACCGTATCATATCTTATATTTTGCAATAATGCGGACTCAAACGGCTGACAGACAACCATAAGCTACAGTTAAGGGTCGTAATATGTCGTTCTCAATGGATTTTATGTTTTCTTATTATATTTTTTTAGATCATAACATTCGGCTGGTTAGAGTGTAGCTTAAGAGTCATTTATATAAATGGTAACACATTCCGTTGTTATTTGGGGGTAATCCGAGATGATATAAAACAAGCGAGATTTTTGTCTGATAAACTTCATGTTGAATGACAAAATTTTGACATGATGACATGATTTTGATGTGTAAGATTATGCTTATTGACTTGAATTTATATTAGATGTTTATTTCTTTTTTTTTTTTGTCAACTTTACCCATCATAGTTCACATTCATGGAACTTAACCTCCTTTAAATTTTTGACTTTTCGTCAATTATCTCTTAAGATTTGGGAATCTCCCCCTCTCTTTCATTCTCTCTTTAACTTTCAGTCTTTTACTCTGTCTCTCTCTCTCACTATATCTCTCTAGGCATGTCTCTCTCTCTGTCTCATTCCCCGTCCCTCATTTTCGATTGGCTCTCTCCTCTCTCATATTCGCTTCTTCCCATTCGTCTTCTCCAAACATTTTCAGCTTGTGATTCATACCTCGTTCTTATCTCATTATACAATATCAATTTTAGATCGGCTGTAAAACAAGTTTTTAATAATGTAAATTATACTAATAAATAACAATTTAAATTTATTTTAAAAAAACATAACTGTTCTAGCTGTTCATACATGTTTTGTTACCATCTTGCATTTTCGCTCTTATGCATAAGTGAAATAATTGACATATTTTTTTTTCTCAATTTAAATTTTAATTCGGCTTACAAAAGTGCGCCGTAAAGCAATTAAAGCACCATATAAGTACTTCACATAATTGGCCACAGCAATATTGAATTTTTGTATTTTTTGTGTTGCTGCTACGACTCTTGTTTGCTTTTGTTGAGCATTAAATTTAATATCGGCCATAAATTACATCATCGTTTACGATAAAATATCACAAAAAAAGCAAACAATTTTTAGATGACATTTAATATTTGAGTGAATCACAGCTGAAATGGGTTCATTAAAATATGGATGCACTCTCCATGGCACTGACCTACAGCATATAATTGAAATAATAGAAATATTTGATAGACTTCTGTATAAATACGAACATATGTGTATGTATTGCAATATGTATATGTATGTGTATATAGAGTCGTGAATTTTAGATGGAATGCAAATTCAACAGCTTAATGGAAATCATAAAAATAGAAATGGAGACAAAGCTATGACCGACTGCGCAATGCTCGCTCAGTGTTCCAAATGAAAATGTGAAACAACATTTAAGTAGTTGATAGACTTAAAAGAGTTAAATATTATATTAATAATATTGAGTTAAGAATTTAAGATATTGAAGAAGCATAAAAAGTCGAGTTAAAAAAAATAAAATAAATAAAAATTATACAGATTAAAATATTATAAAAAATAATAAATAGCCTACTTTGAGCTAAAAATATTTGTTTTTAATAAAACAACTGACAAGAAAATTATGAAAATAAACAAGTATACCCATTTTTAATTTTTGAACGAGTATAAACATGTCAGCAAGTCTTAATCGCATCATAGTTAAACTATCAACTAAAATAAATAGTACTACAAAGAACAAACGAAATATCAGACAAAACTAATATACCCCCTTAAACCCTTTTCGAGAGCGCGTGAAAACAAAAATGTTGGCGCTTTGAGTGTTTGCGTCAGCATTTCGCGAATGCTGCAGCAACCCTAAAAATTGATGAATGCCAAACAACAATTGAACGTTGGCTATGCGCGTTGTCCTCACCGTCTCACTGTCCTCTCTGTCCTCTGTAACTGATGGCCAGACATCAGAAATATTTTTGTTGTCGTTTGTGCCGTTGTTGTTTGAAATGCTCACTGGCCATTGTCAATTTTGGGCTGGAGAACTTTTCGACTGCATAGAATTGGTGGCTCAATACAAAAAGCGTTCCGTCGGCTTCGTTTGCATTTTGATGACAGTCGTCAGCGTCCTTCACATTGTCAATCTATACGAAAAAATAAAGAAAACATTGGAAAAATAGAAAAAATGCAAAAAATCGGAAAAAGAAAACAACAAAACCAAATAGAACAAGCAAATGCTTTATGACATGCTATTGAAACGTCGTTGATTTGTTTTTCAAAACACTTTTGCAATTTATTTTGCAGTCGTAATTGTCTGGGCCAAGTTGCGAAATGCTGGAGTTTGATGTTTGCTGTTTGTTGTTTGTCGTTTACTGTTAGCTGGATTAAGCTGTCTGAAAATATATGCTTCGTAGTGCTTTATTAAATCTAAAAATGTTTTGAATACCTTGTGCTTTCAGAATTTTTTAAAGCCCATTGACACAATACAACATTTTTGAGTTCCTTAAAACTTGTTTTTTTTTTTTTTTTTTTTTTGTTAAGTTTTAGGTAATATTGTTATATTTTACTGTGTTATATATCTTTTATTATTTGTATTTTGGTAGTTTTATGTATAATAATTTTTTTTTTTTTTATTTTGTGTATTATATCTAAGTAATTTATTTTAAATTTAACATTAATTTTTTTGTTAAATTTTATTTTAGTATATTGTTTATATTTTAGTATATTTTAATATATTTTACTTTAATGATTTTTCGTGTATGCCTAACGATAAGAATACTTATAATACTTATTATTCTATTATTTACATAAATTTTTTTATTTTTTGTTTATTATTTGTTTTTTTTTAATTTGTTAAAATTATGCGGGTTGCCAATGTATTAATTGATCAATATTTTGAAATTCAAAAAAGTATTTACATTATTTTATTTATTTTGCACTCTGAGCAGGAAGTTTTTTCCTCATTATTTTACCTTGATAAAGTTCTGTACAGTTTTTTGATGATTATTTATTTTTGAGCGATCAGAACCAGCTGCCATATTTGGCTACAGATTTGTGCCCTTATCCACTATGTGCGTATATATGTTTGTACACATGTATATGTATGTATGTACAGCGCTCTCACACAACAGCTGATCCAGTTGTAAATGAAACGCGTTTCGCAATTTGTATTCCTTGTGCTCGCTTTTTTGGTTCAGGTTGGGGTTTTTATGGCTCAGCTTCCGTAAAAGGTAGCAAAGTATTTTAAGCGTTTTTCTGTTACAGATTATTGTAGTTGTTGATTTTTGTATACTTTGCCTTTAGTTTTTTCTCGCTTTTGATTTAGTTCTGCTTTACCTTTTTTCACATTTTTAACATTTCCATTAAAAAATATCAATGCTGGCAGCGTCGTCATCATTGTTATTGTTGTTGTTGTTGTTGTTGTAGCCGTCGTCATCAGTTTATGCTGTCATCGCTTTAAAATCACCCGACTCTCGCATATTCTGTATATATGTTTATATATATGTATGTGTATATACATATATTTAAATATTCATAAGGTGTGCACTTTGCTTTTGTCGCAATTTATTTATGTTCTTTTCGGTTATTTGTGCGCGTCGCGCTTTGCTCACATGGTTTTATGTTCTGGGCCAATTGTCCGATGCGGGTAACTGGGTATCGAATCACACACACATCACATACATATGTCTCTGTATGTTCTTTTGTTTCTTGTTCAGTGTATAAACACATGCAAAATGTCGGATTTTAGCTGTTAACAGTCGAAAACGAAAATGTTGTTTTTAAAAGAGAGCCGTAACTGATTTATTGCACTAGAAGTGGAAAGGAAATATTTACATTTTACATAAAAAGATACGCTTTTAAATAGACAACATAAATAAAGCATATTTATGTTATTGCAAACAAATAAATATTCAATTTTGAAACATTTAAAAATATTTTCACTTTATTTTGAGAGAAAAATATTGATAAATGTAAAAGAACTATAGAGCTAAATTTATAAATATATGTATATACAAACAAAAATCTGTTAAAAAAAATTGGTTAACAAATATGTTAAAATTATTATGATTTTTGATATATTTTATTTAAAATTTGTTTTGCATATTATTTTAAACATGCTTTATTCATGCTTATTTAATAATTTTGCTTAAATATTGTATTTCTTAAATAATATATTTATTTTATTTATTCTTTTATTATTTACTTACATAACATGTATATATTATTTCACCCCTTATAAAATTACTATTCACAAATTTGGTTAACATATTTTTGTATTGATCAGAATTTGATGTAATCTTGATGTAATTTAGCTAACATTCATCTAATGCACGTTAGCTATTTTGGTAAATATTAAGGAATTCCTTAATAATACTTAGCAGAATTTTCTTTACATATGTGCAGAAAGAAACTTTGCTAAATGCTCTTAAACTTTAGTAACTCGTATGAAGGAGATGTATTGAAGCAAAAGCCACAAAGTTTTTGCCCCACTAATTAAGTAGATGACATTAATAACTTAACTCAGTGGCCAATACATACAAACACATAGATAGCTAGCCAAATCATGATTGATGGCTATCTTTTAGTCTGGCCAATTAAACAAATCGAATGTCAGTTGAGGCCAATGAAATCGTCTGCAAGGGCAAACAAGAACGAAGGATTTGCGAGAGATAGAATGGGATTGAGGGAGTGGAGGAGTGAGGGAGTGGGAGTAAAGAAACATGTCAACAAGATGTTTAAACACGAATTAGGCACATAAAATGGAATAAAAAGGCATAAAAAGGATTTATGCAAGACACAAAGCAAACAAAACCCAATGCAAAGACGAGAGAAAGTTTTTCGGTTTCGGCTGCTGCTGCTGCTGCTTCTGCTGGGGCACGCAAGGAACATAAACAGGATTACCAGAAAAAAAAAGATTGATAGATTTTCCATTCTGCTTCCTTGGGCTATAACAATTCGAAGGAAATTGAGTTGCTTAGCCATGATTGATAATAGTTGTATATATAATAGTTATATATGTATATTTATTTATTGATATACATTTTGTGTGTTTCTTTGTCTTGTTTTGCAGGCGCTTTGCGGCGTTGTCTTTCAAGTTCCTACAATGTCTGGCGACAAGCTGCGCATTAGCACCATGCAGGAGATCATCAAGCCGAACACTGTGAAACGCATCCAGGGCTATGGCCTGCCCTTCCCAAAAGATACGACGCGCAAGGGCGATCTGCTGGTTGCTTTCGATATACAATTTCCGGCGAAATTGACTGCCGAGCAAAAGGAGGTGCTCAGAGACTTGTTCTAGAACCCACATAGAAGAGATGAACAGAAGAAGAAGATGAAGAAATGCCGCCTTTAACCACGACACACAGCACAAAGCACGACTCACTCAACTCTGCAATCCAGTCTGCCCTCGTTTCCTGCTCTTCTGCTGCTAGTTAGTCATACTAAAACCAAATTCTTTTACCTTCACGATTGAGCATTGAATGTGTCATCAAATTTTAAAATAATTCGCGTTGCAATATTTTTACTTTTTTTTATATATAATAAATAAATAAAAAAATCAATCCCCACCATCCGTCGAGCTGCAATAATAATAATAATAATACATAGCTGTTATATTGTCATAATTCTTAATTTATTTGTCTAAATTAAAGCTACGTATAATATTAATATTAAAAAAAAAAGCAAACAAAAATAAACAAGAAAACGTGAAAAACAAGCGAATTGATAAAAAGAAATGTTTTTATTTGGAATATTTTGATATCAGATAAAAACTGTCTGTTTTTGATTTTCTAATTGAAATAATTATTGTTAAATAGTCTAAAATATTTTCGTCATATCAGATCATTGGATAGTTCCCCTGCTGGGACTTAAGAATATTTACATTTAATTTCTAGAAAATGTTTTTAATACCAGAATCAAAGTTGGACTTGATCAGAGTAAAGAGTGAAAAGTTGTGTATGAAAGGAAAAGTGGAAATTGTGTGTACGTGTGTGTGTGAGAGAGTGAGTGTGGTAATCGGAACGCGTTTGCCTAATTAGCTGCCATTGCCAGCAGTTGGCAGTTGTCAAAGGAACTTGGGCAGCGTAGAGCTCGTTAAGTCATTAAAACTGCATGAAGTCAAAACTTTATGGTCTGCAAAGTTTGCGTCAAAGCAGAAGTAAACCCCCTCAAAAAAAAAATAGAACAGAAACTGAAAAAATGTTGGAAGAAAGAGCTTTGGAAAAGTGGGCAGCAAATGCAGAAGAAACCGAGCAACAACATCAAAGCCGACAAATGGTAATTCGTTTAAAAAGCAAAGCCAAGGCCGGGCCACAGACGCATTTCATTTGCAGACAATAAACTGGACAACAACAACAACAACAACAACAGCAGAGCAGCAGCAACACGAGAAGTCTAAATAAATTAAATTTTGAGGAACTCTTTGCATACAAAATAGACACAGGCAAATGCAAGTGCGAGGCAGTTGTCAACGACTACCTCATACTCGCTTAGGTAAGATTGATATATAAATTTACATTTATCTCAGGACTAGGCTAAGAGTAATTGAACTAAAGTTTAAAGTTTAGAATTTCTAAGCCTAAAACATATTCGAGATCTCTCTCTAATTCTCTCTCTATCTATAGAGTCCCGATAACTCGAGATGACAAGGCTCAGTTTTTTTATTTACACAGAAATTCAAATGACCGAGAATTATCGAGAACGAATTTGTTTCAAAGGGATAGAACGTCTTTCGATTTATCGCGATATTTTATTTAGACAAATTATACAGAATCGACTGTATATATTTGATTATATTATATCTAAAATCTCATATTAGTTATCTATAAAAAAGTTTTACACATTTTCACACTGAAATCTCGTGCTATCAAAACTAATATACCCACTTCACTTGCTGGGCGTATTAGCACCCAGGCCCCTAGGCAGCGCTTTGGCCAGTAACCGATACTGGGAGGGCGCCAAACACATTGACAGCACAAAAATGCTGTCCGTACCCTCGCCTGCTCGCCTCGTTCGTCTCTCTCTGGCACTCCAGGCATCTTCTTAGTCTTCAGTCTGGCGCAACATTGTAACAATTCGTTGCGATTTTCCACTTGTTTTGAAAGCGAGAGACCTCAACTCAGCTCAGCAGCAGCTACTGCTACTGGCCTGGCTATTGCTACATAGGCAGTCGAAGGGTTTGCATCGTGGCAGATTCGAAATCTCGGCATCGACAGCGCGCAAATGTGTGAATTGAATTTTCAAACAATTTCTGTTGCAGTTCGCTTTTCCTTTTGCCTTTCCTTCTATGGCCAGGCACACGTTGCCCCTGTGACCCTGAGTCACCCTGTTGCCAGTGAATAAGCGCTGTGCACAGTGCTCTGTCATGCCCTAATAAGGCGGCAAAGGTACCTTAGCTATTTAATGGGAAAGGGTTGCTTTGTCGAGTTTTTAAGGTTTTATGTTTCAGGCAGTGCCTGATAGCCATGTTTTACAGTAGTATGAGTTTAAATGATATATTATTTATACTTGAACAAATTTTGAATTTTTGTTAATGAATAAAATATTCCTCTGGTTTAAGTTCATTTAGAGAGGACTAAGTTATGTGGAAAGAGTTAATTTATATTATAAAATCTGTAGTAATCTTTAGTTAGGCTGTAAAATATAATTATAATATTATAATTATAATATATAATATAATTATAATATATGTATGATTATAGTAGAGTTCTATGTATCAATTCATATAAAAATATCTATCTAATATTCTGAAAAAAAAGATAAATTCTTGTTTATTTCTTAAAACTATTTCTATTTATAAATTTTTAAAACTTAAAAAAAATATTTCCTAACATATTTTTTTATTTTATATAAATAAATAAAACAATATTTTTTTATTTTATATAAATAAATAAAACAATATTTTTATTTTTTTATTTTGTTGTATAAGACTAACCGAGCCATGATGGAATATTACAAAAGTTGATTTTATTTTAGTATAATTGCATTCAATTCAAAGTTTAGCTTTATACAAATAAATTAGTTGTATTAAATAATTTTAAGAACTTTAATTTATTGAAGATGCACAATTCTTATTTAAATTTTTAATTAATTTTCCTTATGACATAGATTCCAACTGTGTATAAAATATATATTATTCTTTAAGCTTAGATAAATTAAAGGTTTTATAAAGTTCGATTAGTTCAAGTACAGCTCCTTTTATGTACTTTTTACGCTGGTTCATTTTGTTCATTTATGACAGCTGAAGGGCATTTAAAATTCGTCGAATAATTTTCGCTTATTCCTTTGTTATTTCGTTTCGATTTGGGTTCTGCTTTGGACTCGAAACGTGCATGATTTGAGATTTGATTTGCTGTGCGGCTGTGGCAAACGCGCTTTTGGCTACATTACAACCATGACGGCTCTTCCTACTCTGACTCCGACTCCCACTCCGACTCCATCGACTGCTGCTTGTGATCCTTAACCAACTGGCTTTGGCTCTGTTTGTCCTGTCGCATCCTGTCCGATTCGTTTGTGTTTGTGGCGGCATTTTAAACATTTCGCTCACGTTTCGGATGTTTATGCCATTAGCGTTTAAGTTCCCATACAAAATGCGAAACGGTTTGCGATTTTCCTTTTGTTCAGATCCGTTGGCTGGGCAGCAGCAGCGGCAGGGAGCTAACTTGACGTGGGGCGTGGCACATTGTTATTTGTAATCGATGCTATTGCGACTTGTTGTAAATTTGTATAGAGTTTAATATAAAAAAAAGAAAAGGAATATGAAATGGCAAAATTTGATGGGGTCGTTATATATTTTATTTATTATTATTATCTATTATTATATATGCTATATAGGAGTTTTATTATTTATGACAAATGAACTATAAAACTTGTGGCAGAGAAAAATAATTGGAAATGCTTTTAGGAATTTTTTATATGAGTTTACAGCTATATTTATTTCTGTATCAATTTGCATTTTATTAGAATGCTTGAAGATGATGTTGCTTTCTGTTTATTTTTTTTTTTAATTATATTTTATATTGTTTATATTATGATTATACTATATATATATATTATGATGCATATTATTATGAAAGTTCAACTCGATGAATTGTTTATCTTATGCAAGTCCATTCTGTGCAAGGATCAGGGTATTACTTAGTAGAGCATTTCTGATATTTCTGCTATCAATCCCATTTTCTTCAGTTTATTCTAAATGGAAATTTAAACTGATTTACCAATTGCCCAAAGGCAGCCTCTTAAATAAAACTTTTACACAATATTTACTTATATATTTTAGGGTAATACCACTAATATACATAAATTAAAGATTTTACTCACTCTGTTCTAAATGCACACTGAAATTAATTTACTAATTCCTCATAAACAGCCTGAGTTGCCAATTCCAACTTTTACACAACATTTACTTATTTATTTTGAGGGAATACCACTAATATAAACAAACTAATGATTTTTCTCACTCTATTCTAAATTCAAATCGAAACTGATTTACTAATTGCCCATAAGCCTGATTAGCAAAAATTTTGCACAACGTTTACTTATTTATTTTGAGGGAATACCACTAATGCACACAAATCAAAGACTTCCACATCATTGGCAACAGGGACAGCAATTGGTGTTGCAGGCGCTGAGGCTCAGATCCATTCGATCAGTGTCCTCCGGCTTGCCCCACCCATTGCTAGTCGCCGTCGCATTTGATGTGAACTCCTTATCGATGCCATCCTGTAGCAGGTGCGCCGTCACAGTTCGAATCGGCGTATTTGCATTGTCCAACTCCAGCTCGCACACGCAGTTGGCATGCAGATTGAAGACGGGCACCCATTGGCCTTTGGACTTGGCCTGGCTCTTACGGCAGACTCGTTGCTTTGTGCGTTTCTTTTTCTTGTTGCGCCGCTTTGGATTATCGTGAATCTTGTGCGTGGGCTTCGCGGGTCCTGTGATGGCCGCCTGGATCTCCGACTCGTACAGTCGCTGGTGTCGCTCGGCTGTGCTCGTGCGCCTCGACATCGAGCAATAGCGACTGTTGATGTGGTTTATGGTCTGCAGTGTCTCCTCGAAGGCCACCTCCAGCTGCTCCACGGTCTGCAGCGTCTCCCACAACAATGTGTTCTTCATAATTTTTCTACTTAAAATTTGACGTGTCTGAAATTGTTTTTTGATATTTAATGCTTGGATTTCATAAAATGCTTGAATTTATGATATACTCGGCAGAATAATATAATATTTACTGAATAAATAAATAATATTAATTATATGATATTTACATCCATTCATCTATATATCTTATTATATTTTATTTTCTCTGTTGCCAAGTAATAAGCATATTTATTTATAAATCTTATGCAAATCCTATTTATGGCTTTTTTGTTTCTATGTGTTTGAGCATGTCCATAAAACTGACTTACGGCCTGTCAAATGTATGGAGTATATGAATATATAAAAAAATGTTGATAAATTTCCAAAAAGCCAAAGGCCACAAATTTAATGGTGAAATGTGAAAAATGCGAACAAATTAGGGGCTGTCATTGCTCGTATATCTGCGCATTATTAACAGCTCCGCCCACAG